ATCTTTGCTGCAGTTTTTTCTATAGTAGTACTTGCTCCACAATATGACATCATATTTCTCTGGCTCACTGTTAGCCAAGCTGAGTTGATTTCACTCTTGAGTCTTAAAGTTTCTTTTATATTTGAGTTTCTTCCTGGTGTGAAGAATAAGAAAAAAATACCTGGTCACAGCTTGTGGTGGAAAACGTTTGAAAGGGACTATAAAATAAGGAAGGATCATGAATGTGATCCATTTATTTATTTATTTATTTATTTATTTATTTATTTATTTATTTAAATAATAAACCTGGGGACTAGAATCTGTAGTAGGAACTTTGCATGTAGGAACCAAATGTAACCTGTATATTCTCAACATTTATCCAATTCTTATAAGAATACTCTCTAGCTCTGAACTTGACAACTTAAGATGTGGAAACAATTGGCAAGGTTCGTTAAGAGGGCAATAAAATTATATTAGAGAATGAAAAAACCTTTAAGAGACGGATAGAAGAATTGAAGTTTCCTAGGGAAGAGAGAGCTTAAAGCGCATGAGGAGCTGGATGGATGGCAACTCTGCATGTCGTCTGCCCAGGTGGTACAAAAAGGAACGTCCTAAATTTTTCTGGAAGGATTTATGGGCTCATGAACTTTTCTCTCCATTCCAGCATGATTGAGAACACATTGTATGCGCTCTCTTTTTCCTTGATCTTTCCTGACATCACACTTTTCTGGTTCCCTGTCTACCATCTGAGACATTGTTGTTTTGACTGCCTTTCTAGGAATGGTCTCACCTTGGCTCTCTTTGCCTTTCTGATCCTTTCTTTCCTTTTTTCCTCCTCCCCCTTGTGAAACCTTAGGGCTTTTGCTTTTGCCTTTTTAAAAAAATATATTTTATTGATTTTTTACAGACAGGAAGAGAGAGAGGGGTAGAGAGTTAGAAACATCGATGACAGATCAGCTGCCTCCTGCACACCCCTTACTGGGGATGTGCCCGCAACCAAGGTACATGCCCTTATCCGGAATCGAACGTGGGACCTTTCAGTCCCCAAGCCGACGCTCTATCCATTGAGCCAAACCGGTTTCGGCTGCTTCTGCCTTTTTTAAAAACAAAAAACAAACTTAAATCCATCCTTTACAACCAGCAGTGAGATCTCTCCAAAATAAGGTTCCCACGTCACTTTCCGGCTCAGAATCGGTTAGCAACTATTTGTACCATGTAGCAGAGGTTTACAAGCAGTCTCTCCAGGGTCTGGGTCTGGGAGAGGAGTGACATGTTCATAACCCCCTGGCTAGTGTCATCCCTGTGGCAACTCACTGTGAAAGACAGTTACTGAACCTGTGCTGCCCACCGGATATGTCAGGAAACAAGGTGTAGAAATCGGACTGAGAACAGGTTCAGGCGCCTTAGGGAACTCGGTCCTCTGCCTCTGCAGCCCCACCCACCTCACCCCGCCCTAGACTGTGAGTTTTGTTTTCTTTGCCTCTTCTGTTATACTTGGCTTGCAAGTCTCAGAATTTGTTATTTTAATAACAAATCTGAAGAAAGTTGCTGGGAGTATTTTGTAAAGATTGTTTTACTTACATTTTGAAGACAAACGGAGGCTGGATTTCCTGAATTTTGGCCTGCAGTATTTCCAGAGGGATTTGCTATTTTAGTTTTGTATTTGTATTGGGTATTGGTAACATAAAAACAGAAATCAAGATAAGTATGTATTTATTGAATACTAGTGGATAAGTTCATTAACAGTGGTGATACTTCTGTATGGAGTCATAAAATATTGGCGCCAGCAGGCCCTTTGAGGTTATATTCCTCCATCTCTTACTATACGGATGAGAAAAAAACAGGTCTGAGAGGCTTGCCCAGGACACAGCCGATAGTGTGGTAGGTCCATCTAGGTCAGTGGTCCCTAACCTTTTTTTGGCCCTGCCCCACCTAAGCATCTCTAAAATCCTGATCTCCCTCCCCTCCCCGTGACATAAAATTCTTATTATTGAAAGAGTGAACTTCACGTGGAGTAAGCCTAAAAGGCTATTAACTTGGTCTAAACAAGCTTCCAAAGAACATGGCACCTATGAAAGAGAAAAATAAAAGAATGAAAGGACAGTTGAAGTACTGAGGAAGAAATCACTAAGAAATTGTTAAAAAAAAAAAAGATATGATGTGATATGAAAAAAATAGCAAAGTTTCAAAACATAATAGAGAACTGAAATGCATAAATATGTCACAATATATTTATTTATTGTATATGAAGCCTCTAGAACCATAATCAATGCAAAAAATTGACTGTTACTAACTCATTCTCGAATTGCTCCCTTAAAAATCCAATTGCCCCCCAGGTTGGGAACCACTGATTTAGAGCCTGACCCTGCTGTACTATAATCATTCTCTTTTTATTGCAGGGGTTTTGAAATGCGTGTGTGTGTGTGTGTGTGTGTGTGTGTGTATACTTTTTTAAGTAGAGAAAGCCCTTTTCTTTTTATGTAAAGTATATCCATTTACCTTTTGTTTGAAATATTTCAAATTTACACAAAAATAGGAAAGTAAACTACTTGTTCAAGTAACCAATTGGTGTGTATATATGTATATTGGTGTACTATACATAGGTGTATATTTACATTATGTCTGATATTTAAGGAAGGTGACTTAGATTATTGTGTGGAAGGATCTAGTTGTCTCAGCATTGAGCAACTTAGATGAAAGTCATGATTCATCTCTAGTAGCATGACCTCCGGGTATTTATTTGACTTCTTGGGTTTAGTTCTCATTATGTTTATAAAGAGAAAGTGGCCGAAACCGGTTTGGCTGAGTGGATAGAGTATTGGCCTGTGGACTGAAGGGTCCCAGGTTCAATTCCGGTCAAAGGCATGTACCTTGGTTGCGGGCACATCCCCAGTAGGGGGTGTGCAGGAGGCAGCTGATTGATGATTCTCTCTAATCAATATTTCTAACTCTCTATCCCTCTCTGTAAAAAATCAATAAAATATATTAAAAAAGTAAGAAAGTTAAATTACTCCAAGATTTCTTGTAACTTTAAAATAATACTAATTACCAACACTTGCATAGTGTTTACTATCTACAAGTCCTGGTTGCAAATACATATGCTAAGTACACACTCAAATGTAATCCTCACAACTACATGATAATTGGCGCGGATACAATGTTGAGGAAACTGAAACATGGAGGTTAAGTAGCCCAAGTTGATCCATTAGTAAAAGTGGAATCACATCGAACCCAGGGAGTCTGGCTTTAAGGCCCACACAATCCTCTACTTCACTGTATGTTCTCTCTCTTCTTAGTCTTGTTACTTCTTTGAATTACATTTTATGAAAATGAACATTTAAGGAAGCCTTTCTTGTGTTTTTTAAAGATAACAACATATGAATAACAAATGTTTAAATTATGAGGGAACCATCTTAGTAAAATGATCTGTTCACTCGGGAAAATTAAGATTACTAGATATTGATAGTAGTTATTCTTACATATTCTATGTATTGTTTATTGCCAAAAGAGAATCTAAATCAAACTTAAGTAACTCCTAGGCATCTGTAATTTTCAAAGTTGTTATGGTTTTTATTGTTATTTATCAAATAGTTTATTTATTTGAGAGGAAGGGAGAGGGAGAGAGAAAAATATTGATGCGAGAGAGATACATTGCTTGGTTGCATCCCCTATACATCCTGACCAGGGATTAAACCCACAACCTGGGTATGTGCCTTGACCAGGAAACAAACCTTTTGGTTCATGAGCCAATGCCAAACAAGAGGGCCACACCATTAAAAAAAAAAAAAAAAGCAGTATTAAAAAACAAGCTGGGAAACTTTTTAATATAGAATTTGAGGAGAACACAATTCTGCACCATTCTGTTTTGGCAGACAGTCATGGCTGCCATAGTTTAAGAAGAACCCAATCAGGCTGAGGGAAGGGATGCAGAACTCATAAAAGAAATTGGGAAGACTGGGGTGTGCCCAGTCTGGTGAAGGAGCAATAGTCTCAGATATATGTAAAGCGTTGTTTAAAAGAAGAATTCACTAAATAGTTAATAAAATTTTCACATAAACAGAGAATAGAAAAGAAGTTGCCAGGGGCTAGAAGTGAGGGAAATAAGGAGAAGGGGGATAAATGGTACAAACTTTCAGCTATGAGATAAATGAAGTCTGAGGAGCTAAAGTATAACATGGTGACTACAGTTGATAACACTGTGTTGTATAATTGACATTTGCTAAGAGAATATAATATATATATTTTCACAAGAGTTTTTATATTTAAAATGGATATGTTAACTGAATGAGAGGCATACTTTTGCAATATATATGTATATTAAATCATCACAATGTACATTTTAAACATCTTACAACTTTATTTGTTAATTATGTCTCAGTAAAGCTGGGAAAAGGATTGGATTCCATGGGATAGTACTGGACTAGTAGGTGTGAGAGTTGCAGACTAGCTCAGCAGAAGTCAAATGTAAAATTGGCTGGCTATGCAGGTGTGGCTTTCTTTCCCAGGAGGTTTTCAAGGAAAGGTTGGGTAAGCCCTGGAAAAGGATATGCAAAGCAGGCTCAGTCATAGTTGGGTTGAACCAGGCGATATCTCAGTTCCCCTTTCACAGTACCAGGCATGTATTAGGCACTCAGCAATAACTGGGGTAGGAGAAACAGCTCATTATTTAAAACCACGGTGACTTTTAAAGTGAACTTACTTGATCTCTGTCCTGATCACAAGGAAAGACAGAGGGAATATGTACCATTACTTAGCTGTAGGTTTGTTTGCTAACATTACTCTCATATACCACAGGACTTCACAGAATGTGTTGAGCTCTTGAAAACCTTTTAAAAATAATACGTGAATGTGATTTTAAATTGTGTGTGTGGGGGCTTTCCCTAATTTTTATTATTATTCAGAAATAAAGTCTTAATCATGGATGCTAATGCTGATTCTCAAATGTAGAAATAATTAACTTTAGTTCAAACCAGTTTGAGTTGTGTGTAATGTAGAGTATGTTCAATGTCTTGCTATTGTAGGTGCATGTGAGGGAACCTTGGCTTGCTCCACCTGCCACCTCATCTTTGAAAAGCACATATACGACAAATTAGAAGCAATCACCGATGAGGAGAATGACATGCTTGATCTGGCGTACGGGCTAACGGATAGGTAAGATTTTAGGACCTCTTCAGTTGTACCCATAGTCTGGGAAAATAACGGTTTACTAGTTCACGTCTATGTAAGGCCAGACCTGTGTGTGTAATTGTGATCTTTCTGCGTGGATAAGTAACAGTTACAAACTTTGAATATAAAATGTGACATTTCTCTTTGTTTTTATTGTTCCACAGTTTAGCTCTTACAAAACTTTTTTTATATAAAAGTAAAAAAATTAAATCTTATTTAGTCTATTTTTATTCCAGGGATTACTGTTTATCACAATTTAGTGAATTGGGATTAAATTCAATGCTTTTTATGGTATCATCGAAGAATAGATTTGATAATTGAACAAAATTATAATGAAAAGTTTTACCTACTTGAGAATAGAATTTCTAAAGATACTTAATACATAATAGTAATTATGTTTAGATGAAGTTCTATTTCTAAGTGTGTATTAAACTACAGTCATGTTATTCTTATTATTAATTAATAGGTAGAATTACTCTTAAAATTAGTAACATCTAAAGCAGCAAGTGAGTGGTATCAAGTGATGCCTTATTTTTAAAAAAATCTTTATTGTTGAAAGTATTATAAGTGTCCCCTCCCCACCCCTCCACCCCAGGCCTTCACCCCACTTATTGTCTGTGTCCATGGTTATGCATATATGCATACAAGCTCTTTGGTTGGTCTCTTCCCTTCCACCCACCCACCCCCACCTTCCCTCTGAGATCCCACAGTCTGTTCCATGCTTCTATGTCTCTGGATCTTCTTTTTCAACAGCTTATTTTGTTCATTAGGTTCCACATGTGAGTGAGACCATATGATACTTGTCTTTCTCTGACTATGATGCCTTATTCTTAAAAAAAATTACCTAATATTTTGGTTGGAGCCAGGAGAAGTAGCTAATTGATTTACTGTTTAAGGGGCAAAATAATGAGGGCTTATGTGATGTTGGCTTTGGTGTTCACCTATAACTTGGTGACCCTAATGTAAAATAATATAATAATAAAAAATTTAAAAAAATAGCTTTATTGCAGGTATACTATGTAACTACAATTTTGTTAGATCCTTAGCAAACTATCCTATCTAAAAACATACATTTTCTTATCCTCACAAAAATGTTTAGAGCACATTCTAAACCCCGTCTTCCCTGGATAGGTCTAAGTGCTTTCCCCTCACAGCTTTTGTCTTTCACTCCGTATGGCATTGTCACAAGCTCATATGTTGTATTATCTGCAAATGTATCTCATCTCTTCTATTTGATTGAAAGTTCATTCCTTAATACTGATATTAGCAACTAATCCTCCACACAGTCCAGTGAGGAGCCTGTGTATTATCCATCTTTAGGATGAGATTAGGAAATGAGTGTTTGCGGAAGGGCATTAAGGAAGTGTACACACCACGTTCAGGCTGGATTCTGATCCCCTGGCCTGTTTGGCCCTCAGACTCCAACCCATGGCTGCCTCCTGTTGCATCCCTGGGCGCCAGCGTGTCGGAGGTGTTCAGACTGTTGAAGTGAGTCGCTGTTCTTTGTACCCCATTGATACTTAGTACTATGCCTCGAGATGCTCTGTGAATATTTGATGAATGTGTTAATGAAACCAAGACTTCCATATCAAATTGAAGACAATTTGATTGAAGACTGGCATTTATTTTTGTTTGCCACTAAGAAAGAAAAGAGTAATGCTAGTAAAAATGTGGCACAGAGTTATCACTTAACCTATTTTAAACTGGAGTAAAATAGCTATTTTGAATTACCTAGACATACATTTGTACATTATTGTTAAAAAGGAAAATATAAATAAAATCGGTAGTAATTCTGAAAAAGGGAAGAAAATGGGATTATAATTATTTTTCTTTCTTTTTAAAAAAAATATATTTTATTGATTTTTTACAGAGAGGAAGAGAGAGGGATAGAGAGTTAGAAACATCGATGAGAGAGAATCATCAACCAGCTGCCTCTTGCACACCCCCTACTGGGGATGTGCCCGCAACCAAGGTACATGCCCTTGACTGGAATCAAATCCGGGACCCTTCATTCTGCAGGCAGACGCTCTATCCATTGAGCCAAACCGGTTTCGGCTATAATTATTTTTCCAATGATAAATAATTGGTCTATGATTATCAATTTACACTTTTGTGAATATAAAATTTATACTCTGCTGTGTTTCTGTATTAATTTTTTCTTTTGTAATCCTTTTGCACTTATTTCTGAGGTCCCCATTGGAGGATGAGATACTGTTGCAAGCTTTATTTTTGTGGAATTACACCCCTGAGTTTTCAAGGTCCCATTTCCCTTTGTCCTGCCAAGAAAAAAGTCCCATTTCATTTTCAGCAAGGCTAAGATCAAAGCTGGTGTCGAGTTTTTGTTTCATGTTGGAGCAGTGTCCAGTCCAGCATCAGGCTAGCTTAGTTAGTGATTCTAGCTACAGTCCATTAGTTCATTGTATTTGGGGTCTTCAGAGCCATATAGCTATGGAGGGAACACAGGTGAAGGAGACTGCTTGGTCTGCGGGATTATGTATTCCCAAATTGTTGTGGGTTTGCATTGGCCCTGCCCCCTTTAGCCATTGATCTCTGTTCTAAGGTTTGACTGACAGGCATCTTCCCTATGTCATCTCTACTCACTGTGCATGTACTCGTCTTCCCCTTTATCCAGTCCCTTCCCCAGTGATCTGCAGGGATTGGCTGGTGGTTCTCTGGGGAGTGTGAAATTGCAGCTTCCTGGTGAAGCTGCCCAGATGACAAGCCTATAATGTTTGGCCTTCCCTTTGCTCCTTTCCTATTATTAATAACTAGCTAATTACAATGGCATAATTTTGACTGGTAGTTAAATTCAACATATGTGGTAGTAACATAGTTCTTATAACTCATTTGAAGAGGCACCTATATGAATATTGTGACCAAGTTTGCAGTGCTGATGTGACTGTCTTCTCCCAGTGTAGAGTGATTGTTAGATGCCAGTGATTTTAAGATTTAACTGGATTTTAGACATGTTAAAAATGTGGGGAAAAGATATAGCTGATAATTGATGACTTATTATGTGTGTTTATTCCAAATTTCTTGTTTTAAAGACTTTCTTTCTAGTCTGTGTATGGTTTTAATTATCTGGGAATTGATTAGTCATTTTCTTGGCATTGTTAAAATCTCAGTTCTCTTCTCCACTGTTGTGCTTTCTGATTATTTCATTGCTTGTCAGTTTTTTTTCACCAAAAAGCAGTAGTATTGGTGAAAGAATTAGTGGATGATGGAGACAAAGACTAAAATGAAGCCATGGTCCACTAGGCTTTTGTTTTATTTTTTATGATCACATTTTGTTACCCTCTAGTTGAGAGTTGAATATCTTTTTCTGCTTAAAAGAAATGTAAAAGTTAAATAAATTCTTAACTTTTTTGAGTAAGAAAATGTTCTATGCGACTGATTGTTTTATGAATAATACCTGCTTAGTACTAAACCATATCTCCCTTTTTTATACAGATCCCGGTTGGGCTGCCAAATCTGTTTGACAAAGGCTATGGACAAAATGACTGTTCAAGTACCAGATGCCATGTCTGATGCCAGACAATCCATTGATATGGGCAAGACCTCCTAAGATAGAATAAATGGGAATATTTTCACAAAATTTTACCTATTTTTATAATTATTATTTCTTAATTAAATGAGAGCATGATGAATGGGTTTACTATTATGACCTGCTTTACTACTTTAATTCACCTTGTATAACTACTGAATTTTGTAGTCTGAAAGTATGCAATCTTTATTTTGTTTAAATTATAGGAAGCAAATCAAATGTTAGAAAACATGTGATAAAATGGTACATATTTTACCTTATATTTGTTTAGCAACTTTAGCAAAATGTTTTCATATGAATTCTGTGCCTATTTGCCTATAAAGTAGGCTTAAAAAGGCACTATCCCTGTGAGATGTGGGTGAAGGCAGAGATCCAAGATCACTTGTCTAGGGCCATACAGTGAATTAGAAAATCTGTACCAGAACCTACATCCTTTTACTACAAATTTAATGTTTAGATTGAAACTGAAGAAATTATGAATATCTTATTTAGAATAATAATTAGTGTGAATGTGAATGGAAAAAGAACTGTTGCTTTGTTCACTGATTAATTTCAAAGACAGTTGTAACCTTATAAATAAATATTTCAAAATTTTATTCAGTGAAAAGTTTTAAGTCTGAGCAAAGGCAATGCAAATAAGTTTGATCTCAATCTTGTAAGAAGGGCTAGGTTTTACTGTTGTATTGTGTTTTAAAAGAAGTTGGGACTAAACTGGAGGAATGAACAAAAAATTAGGTGTCTTTATTTTCTGTCCTAAGCAGAATGGTGTGTCTTTGTAATATTTTAAAAAATAATGCTGATCTATAAGTCTCTGCCTATAACAAAATAGAGATCTGGATTAGGTTTTCTCTGTCCTGAGTTGCAGAAGGAAATGAGCAGACTCATGCACTGCACTGCTGGGCAGAGGCGAGCCCCCTTCCACCAGGACAGAGCTGCGTGATGAGCAGTGAGCTCAGCAGCGTTCATCATCCTGGAGATGTGGGGAATGGCTTGATCACCACCAGATGACCAGTTACACATAGCAAACATTTATATCTTTATCTTTACTCCAAGTACACTAGTAAATGATATAAAAGGGTATACAGTGTCTCTTGTAAATATTTAAAACTAGAGGCCCAGAGCATGAAAATTCATACACTGGACAGGGGGTCCCTTAGCTTGCCCTCTCTCACAGTCGGGGAGCCCTCAGGGGCAGGAGGTGACCTGGTGATCAGGGGAAGATGACACCCCATCACACCTCTGCTGCTGCCACTGCCGGCAGCACAAGCCTCGGCTGGCCTTGGTTACCTGAGCCTCTGGTGGTCCTGGGTGACTGGGCAGCTGCCATCCAAGGCTTGCCTGTGCCTCGGGTTGGCCCTGGGCGCCTGGGGGCCTGAGGAGACTGGGAGACTCTGGGGGCAGGTTGAGGGTACTGGGTACCACCATCCTGTCTGTGGGTGCCGCCATCTTTGAGGGTAGGACAGTTAATTAGCATATTCCCTCCTTATTGGCTGTGGGTGCTGCCATCTTTGTGATTGTATGAGGGTCAGTTAGCATATTCCCTCTTTATTAGATAGGATATCAACTAGCTTGGACTAATCGTGGGAAAGGGCAGAACAAAAGAAAAAAGTGAACTATAAGACCTTTGAATTAGCTTCAGGCACATCTGTGTAGTTTGATTATTTGCACAAATATTTGTAAGTGCAGTAATTGACCTATAACATTTTGTTGGGTCCATTGGGGAATAGAGAGGTGAGAAAGATTAAGGTTGCACTCAGGGAACTCACCTTTAATTAGAAAAAGATAAAATATATGTATGCACAAATAATTTGCTTGAACTTAGCTGACCAATTTGCCAAATAGAATACTTAAAACTAACACATGAAAAATGATTAAAAAGAATTTAGGGGAAGGTTCATTTGACAGTTTGTAACTATCGAGTGCCTTCTATGTGGAGAGTACTTTACTATGAAGTACTTTAAAATAATTGTTCTCTTAATTAACTTCAGTATTCCTCTTTTATTCTTCTGTGGATTACCTATACTTTCTTTCCCAGAACTCTTACTGATGACATTCAGCCTAAACACTCTTAAAATTTAGATTCTAATTTTTTCAAATTTCAAAATATAAAAATTTATACTAAAGAAGTTTAATTGTATCATGTAAATAAAACCTACCAAACTTATTAAATGGAGGATATATCCTAAATTGGTTGGTATAAAGATTATTTTTTTCAGTTTGAAAAACAATTTTCCCCTGTTTAATAGTGTGTGCATTCAATCAACTATTAGTTGTCGGTTCCTGCAAAGCAAATTGCCCCAAAACTTAGTAGCTTACTGCAGTGTTTCCCAAACTTTTGACATATGTGTACCCTTTCTATAATTTCTGTAACGCTGAGTACCCCTGTACTCAAGAGAACGTAGAATTAGGCACAGCTAAGCACCTAATTTGGTGCAGTGCATATCCCCACCAAACTCCGGTGCAACGCATACCCCAACCAAACTCTTCCCGTACCCCTGGGGGTATGCATACCACACTTTGGGAAACACTGGCTTACAGAAACAACAATCTCCATTTATATGGGCAGGGATTCACAGAATACAGAGCAGGATGGCTCACCACTGCTTCACTATGTCCGTGGCCTAAGCTGGAGGATGGAGAGGCCCGGTGCCGCAGACTAATGATCCCTCGCCTGGCTGCATGTTGATGCTGGTGTCAGCTAGGGATCCAGTAGAGGCTATTGACTGGAATACCCACACGTGGCCTCTGTGTGGCCTGGCTTCCTCGCAATGATGGTTGGGTTCTAAGAGCCAGCACCATGAGAAAGCTTGCATTCCGGACAGAAGCAGTATCCTTCTATTTCTGTTTTAAGTATGTTTTTATTGATTTTAGAGAAAAGGAGAGGGAGAGAGGGAAAGAACCATTGATGTGAGAGAGATACATTGATCAGTTGCGTCCCGTTGAACCCGCAACCTGGGAATGTCCTGACCAGGAATTGAACTAGTGACCTTTCAGTCCATGGGATGAAGCTCAACCAACTGAGCAACACTGTTCAGGGCAGACGTGCTGTGCTTTTAATGACCTCATCATGGAAGCTACGCAGTCTCACTTTTGACTTGCTTTTTGCTAGTAAGCCTGGCCCATCATTTGGAGAACTGGGTATCAAAGAATTTGCATACATGTTTTAAAGCCACCAAAATAACCATTATTTTTTTAAGGGCTAGATTATACTGTTACAAGGTGTTTTGAGAGATTCTTGTGTCTCTATTATGATGGTTTATTTGTTTTATTCTCTAAATCCCCACGGTTTTCTTGACAGTTGATTTAATGGTTGGCTCTCTTTCAATGCCGTGTAATTTTAGTTTACATTTCGCTGTCATATAGCCATCAAGAAAGGTATCTTGCTTTGGTGTAATACTTTATATAATTGTCGGTTATGTGCTAATTGTTAATATTCTATGTGGTTTTCTCAGATAAAACCAACCTATAATCACATAAGTAACTCAGAACTGCTTGTTTAGTTTTTTAAGTGAGCCATTCTAAGAATTTCCAAAACCTCTGCCTAACTTTCACTGTGAAAATATTACCTAATTTTTGTCTTGAAGAGCAGTTTTCCTTTTTCTTTATAACTAATTAAGGATCTTGTGGTAATTCATGTGGGTTCTATCATGGTCACTGAGCACTTATTAGAACTATGGCATTTCACTTGAAATATGTTTCCCTTAGAAAACAAGGGAAACATATTCATTATATGTTTTCCCATATTTTCCTTTTCTTCATTTTTACATACTACATACAACTTTTCTAATGACTTTTCCTTCCCTTAAACTACCCGAAATATTGTGGTTAACCACATTTTGTAAAAGGTGAGAGATTTATACATTCTGAAGAATAAGGTATTTTAGATCAAAATTTGTTTAGATGGCTTTCTTATTTATAGGACAACATAACTCAGTGAACTAAAAACATAGTAATGTGTTTTATGGACATTTAAAATAGTATATGAAACCTATTCTAAGTATTAAACATTCAAGACATTCAGACATTACCTATCAACTTTGTTTCCTATTACAGAAATATTTAAGAATAGAAATAATGTCCTGGTTATGCAACAAAAGGATTCCTTTAATGTGTCAACACTTCACATGATATCAAGTTATTTTTATCAGATCTTTTTCTGTTTATAAGTTCCTAGAAACTGAAACATTAGAAAACCAGCTGGAAGGTGGAAGGCGTGGTCACTTGCAGACAAGTAAATGTGGGCTGTAACAGAACAGGAACAGGGAGTTAAAAGGTGACCTGAACTTACCAGAAGCAGCCCAGGAGACAGTGGACAGGAAAAATCTTCACAGTGTGTGCCATAACTTCTGCAAAAACTGTTAGCAATAAATCACCTAATCAATGTCTTTTCTCTCTTTTTTTGACTGCCATTTGTTCATTGTGTTATCTGGATATATTCTTTGTCATCTGATTTTTAGACAACCATTATAAAATTAAGTGGGGTCATTATGCCTTCCTGGCTCCTTTTGTCTACTAGTCATTTCTGAAACCATCACTCCTCAGCCTGACCTACCCCAATGGTCTTTACTGTCCCTCACCTGTGCCTGCGCTCTGCCTCAGACAGCCCTTTCTAGCATTTACTACATATGTTACATAGCACTCCACAGAGCAATACTCACATGTACTGTATTTTCTCTCCGATAGGTTAAGCTTTTTAAGAGTGAAGAGTGGGCCCTACTCAGTTTGGCTCAATAGATAGAGGTCCCAGGTTCAATTCCAGTCAAGAGCACATGCCTGGGTTGTGGGCTCAATCACCAGTAGGGGGCTTATAGGAGGCAGCCCATCAATGATTCTCTCTCATCACTGTTGTTTCTATCTCTCCCTCTTCATCTCTGAACTCAATAAAAATATATTTTAAAAAAAAAGTGAGGAGTAGGTTGTGTTCAACTTTGTAACTACAGTGTTTATCGTATCTAGCCCACAGTAGGTACACAATATATACTTGAATTAATAAAAACCTGGGGTTAGAAGAAACGTGCTTC